TTGAAATCTCTATAGATAGTTAAGCCTATATCTTAAAGTGAAAAATAGTTAAGAAAGATGACCTCCAAAAAATACATAAAAGATGATTAAAGGATAAAAACCAATCATTATGGGTATAAATGGCAGAGCTGGTCAAGAAAAAAAATCTAGATCTAAAACTTATCAAGTTCAAGATATACTCTTGAGATCTTTATAATAATAAAGTATATATCCTAATTAAAGATACTCTCAAACTTCTAATAATAGAATAAAAAAATCTTACCTTATACAAAATCCCTATAGAAATTAAGTGACAAAACAAAACTTTAGATAATCTTATAAGACAATTCATAAAGAAGATAAATAAAAGATTATAGTATATTAGTAGACATTATAAAACAGAATGGAAAAAAAATAGAGTCACCAAATTTAATAATAACAAGGTCATATATGGAATCTAGTATGTGAAAGGATAAATAGCTACTGTATACGTGAAATACATCTTTCAAAAATTCTCAAAGAAAAAGCTTTTTTATTAAGCTGACAAATGATAAGTTACCAACACTGAGTAAACAGACAATAAGAAGTCCAGACCTATACAAACAAATAAAATGTATTATATATAATTTTCAAGAGGAAGAAACAATTAACCATTTGCTAGAATATTCAATATACAAGAATTAGATGAAGAAGATATAAAATAAAGGTCTTGAAGAAGTTTTGAAAAATTTCAGAAAACTCTTATAAGAAAGGAAAAAGAAAGTAGAAGAGAAGAATACTAGATTAATAGTAGATAACAATAAAGAAATATGTGAAATAGATAAGTAAACATTCAGGCTAATAAAACAGTTCTTAGCAACTAATCTAGATATATTAAGTTTTTTTTGCAGGATTAATAAAAAGTAAACTTATTTTTAAGATAATAGACCTTAAATGCCATAATAAAAGAATTAGAAAAAAAGCAAAAAGATGGATCAAGAAATTGTAAAATATAACTTGTAATTAGTTTTGAAAGAAGATTTGGAATGTAAGATGTGAAAGAATGATAAAATAAGAAAGATTGCAAGAAATCTAAAAGAAGAATAGATAAAAAGACCTCTAATCTCTTAGGTGCTAAAACCATGTAACTAGAAAAGAAAGTTCTGATACTAGAAGAAGGAAGATTAGAATATAAATACCTAAAAGATAACTTATTAAGAGAAGTTAAATTTGTGATAGAATAGTTGGATTTTGAGTAATGTTAGAACTTGAAAGAGTGATCTACAGTAATAATCTATAGACAATAATATTAAGAGTTGGAAGAATTTTCATCTAAACTCCTAATGGAACAATAAATCACTTCTAAAGTTATACTTAGAATAGTAATTACAAAGACAAGTAAGCTAGTTAGCATTTTTTAGCTTTAGCGATTCATATTATATGTATAGTTTATAAATATTTAATAAAGCATATATAACTAGTCTGACAAAAAGTTAAAAAAAAATTTTTTTATTTTTATTATAATTAACTGAAGAAAAAAGATCCACAAAAAATATATAAAAAATGGGCGAAAGAAAAAAACCGATCTTTATGAATATAAATGTTAAATCTTGTGATGAAAAAATACTTGAAGTTAATCAAGGTTAAGGTCTACTCTAGTAATAAATATAATAAAGAAGCAAATGTTATAACCAAAGAAGCACTCCAACTTCCTGTAATAGAATAGAAGGATTTTATATCATTTAAAATCATTACAGAAATTAAATTATGAAATATAATATTGGATATTCTAATAAGACAATTTATCAAAAAAGTAAATGACAAGACAACAGCTTATCAATAGATGCAACAGAATAGAACTCAGGAAAAATGGAATTAGCAAACACAAAATTAGAATAAATATATATGGAACCTTATATGAGATAGAATGAAAAATATGTATATGTAAAATATTTTTTTTAAAAACTCTTATAAAAAAAGCTTTCTCGTAAAATTAGCAAATAATAAATTATTGACTCAGACAAAACTAGCAATAAGAAAACCAGATCTTTATAAATAAATGATATATATAGAGTACAATAAAGATACAAAAATGATGAACCATTTATTAGAATGCTTAGCATATGAAAAGCAATTGCAAGAAGTATGAGTAAAAATATTAAAAGAAGTACTAAAGAAATTTAAAAAAATTTATTCAAGAAAAAAAAAAAAGAAAATGAAAGAAAAGACATATAGCTAATTACAAATGATAGAGAGAAGAAAAAAAAACTAAATAAGCCAATTTCTAAACTTCTAGAAAAAATCTTCAAAAGTGATTACAAAATACCAAGTTTTTATATAAAACTTATAAGAAGTAACTGACTTATTACAATAGCTGACCTCAAATATTATGATAAAAGAATAAAACAAAAAGCTTATAGGTGAATTACAAAATATAAAAGAAGATTTATAATCATATCTGAAAAGAAATCTGAAACAAAAGATGTACTAGAGTAATTGAATGAAAATGGTCATAAGAAATTAATAAAAAAAATAAAGTAAAAAGATCAAGCCTAAAAGCTTAAAAGATCAAGATCAAAGTCAAGAAACCATCAATTCCTAAAGAAGAAAAATTGAATGATAAGAATTTAAAGCAGATATTGATAAAAGAAATTGAATACAGAATGAACTGATTGAGTTTTAATCTCTGCCAAAGTTTCACAAAGTGATTTGCAATAATAATCTACAGACAATGATACTAATAGTTGAAAAAATATTTACCTGAACTATTAGTGTAGTAAAAAATTACTTCCAAAGTTGTACTTAGAGTGACAATAGTCAAAATAAGTAAGTTAAGTAGAGTTTTAGCTTTAGTGTCATATTGATATATAAAGTCTATAAAATTTTTAATAAAGTATATATAACTAGTCTAATAGAAAGAAAAAAAAATTACTTTTATTATAATTATCAACTTAATTTAATATAAATATTTCATAGATTATAGTTATCTAGATTTATTTGTTAAATTGTATTCTTTAAATAATAATTAAGAAAAAAATATATATCTAATTCTGGTAAAGATTATAAGATACTTTAATTACTTTTAATATTAAAATTACTTATTTTTAATAGTCAAGTAAGTTCTATTAGCTTTTATAAATAGATAGAAATTTATTTATTTTTATAAAAACAAATAAAATAGATAAGAGATTTTTTTTAATAAATAGATTTTTATTTTTAATCTATAGTTTATAAAAGATTACAAACTAAAAACTCTTATTACGATTTTTAATACAATTTTTTATTCAATATAATTATTTAGGTTATTAGTAATACTTATAATTCTTACTTATAGTAAAAGTATTAATTAAAAATTATTATTAAAATAAAAAATCTTTTAAAGACTTAATATCTTTAAAAGAATTGTACTTTTTTAAATAGATAATTTATATTTAAAGTTAATATTATCTTTAAAATTAAATTATTAATCTTTTTATATATCTTTTAAATTAAAGATTTCATCAAATTTTTGGATGAGTAATCTCTTAGGCAAACTTTTAGATGAGATAATATCAATAAAGCTAATCTCTAAAATCATTTTCTTTTTATTCAAAGAAAAAGAAAATATAAAAGAAATTTTTTCTTTTTTTTTTTTAAGATAATATTTTGATAAATAATTCATAAGTGTTAACTTTTTAATAATATTGGTTCTCAATGAATAATTAGTAGTAAAAAAATTTTAAGTCTTTACCTGATAACTCTTTGATATTTTTTTTTGTATTTTTTAATATTAGTTTAGAAGTAATTTTAAATTAATCTCTCTTAGTTTGAAACAGCAAAATGCAATTTGATAAACTGTTTGATTTTAGTATTTTATAGGCGATCAGATATTGCCCTAGAACTTAACAACCTTAAAGCTGAATTTCCCGTGATAATCGCGATAATGTAAGCTTTTTACTGCGTGTTCCAAAAAAAAAAAATAAAATGATAAATCTGGTTAGATAATAATAACTTTAGGAATTGCATTTTATTTAGTAATTCTTCAAAATGTCGTGCTCACATTGCGGTGAAAACAGAATTGAATATGATTCTGCAGCTGGACATGCGTTTTGCGCAAAATGTGGTTATGTATGTTTCCACCTTTATATACTTCAATATTTTGGGAAAATGGTAGCAAATAGCCAATCCTTTTCACTTTGAAAGGTCGTGGAGGAGAGTAAAATTGTCGCAGAGGTTACCTTCGGCGAAAGCGCATCAGGCGCTGCCATTTTGCAGGGATCATATATAGGAGCTGATCAAAGTGAGTATTAAATGTATTACTTGAGAGTGTGAAATTCGCAATTTTAAGTCTAGGAATATATTAATTCACCATATTGTTACTTGCACGACACAGGAAGGGTCAGAACCGCTGGGCCGTACAGAAGAAATTCAAGCCTAGACTCGAGAGAACAAACAATTGCTAATGGTAAGTAACAGTTTTAATGTAAAAGTGTTCAAAATTAGCAAAGGTTTTAATGAGCTGTTATTTTAAATGGACTACATAATCAAAGGGAGACGCCAAATACAAGCTTTAGCTACGGCCTTACGTCTCTCAGACCATCTGATGGAAGCAGCACAAAGATATTTCAATCTCGCGATAACAAATAATTTCATCCAAGGTCGAAAAACCCAACATGTTATAGCAGCTTGTCTCTATATTGTGTGTCGTACGGAGAAAACATGTCATATGTTGATCGATTTTTCCGACATTTTACAAGTAAGAGTATACTAATTATACTAGCATATCGATTCCGACATCATAAACTGGTATCATTTAATTGCTAATCTCATTGCAACAATATTGATAATATCTTTGCTAGAAGACTGACAGATCATTCATCGTTTAATAATAATAGGTAAATGTTTTTACTCTCGGATCAACATTCTTAAAATTGGTAAATACACTTCATCTTGTGCTTCCATTGATAGACCCATCCATTTATATTTCGCGATTTGCTTCGATGTTGGAATTTGGGGAAGAAACGAGTCGCGTGGTTACTGATGCATCTAGATTGTGTGCGCGGATGGGACGAGATTGGATGCAAACTGGAAGGCGACCCGCAGGCATTTGCGGGGCGTGTGAGTTTTAATTGATGACTTTCAATAATTAGTTTGAGGATTGTTTTTGATGAGTACTGTTACATTTACTTTCCTAATAACATGCACAGGTTTGCTAATTGCGGCAAGAATGAATAATTTTAGGAGAAGCGTCAAAGAGGTGATTGCCGTAGTAAAAACTGCAGATGTTACGATCAAAAGAAGGTAAGAAATTGGAGATATTTTGGCCGTATAACATCTATTGATGGTTAGGTGTATTATATTAGGATTGAGGAATTCAAAGAAACACCCACAGCAAAACTTTCAGTACAAGATTTCAGGGTTGTATGGCTTGAACAGCAAAGTGATCCACCTGCATTTACAAAAGCTCGCAAAGCAGAAAAAAATATGACTGGGAAACGAAATCCGATTACCATAATTTCTGATTCTTCGTCAAAAGAGAAAGCAGGAGATGAAAGCTACGGAACTCAAATCAATTCATCTCTAAGAGAAGGAGTAATTGATAATGAAAGGAAGAGAAGGAATGATGATATTGACGAGGAGGATTCGGATAGTGATAAAAATAGTAATGATGAGAATTTGACCGAAAACATAAATCAAAACCAAAATGGACGCAATTTAGTTGAAGAGCAAATAGAAAAAGAATTGGAAGAAGAAATGAATTCTTATCTTAACGATCCAAATTTAAAAAAGATCAGTTCCGAAATGGAAGGTAAACCTCAAGATTGGAGTTTATTGTAAAAATATAATAATTAAAATTTTTTTTTTATGTAGAAGAGTCTGGCAAGAAATGTTCAAATAAGGATCATTCAGAGAAAGACAAACTAGATGATGAAGAGATAGGTTCTGATTTCGATGACGATGAAATAAGCAACGTCATTTTATCCGAGGAAGAAGTAAAAATAAAAACACAAGTGTGGATGGACATGAATCGCGAATATTTAAAAGAAGTTGAAGGTATAAATATTTGTATATTTTTCTCCGCCTTGGAACGTAATATTGATCGCAATTCCTGAATAAATAGAGAAAAGAAAGAAACAAGAAATTGATCGAGCAAATGGGATAGGTGTTCGCAGAGTATGCAACGTTATCATTTTTTCTTATTTTGTTTAAAATGACTTTGTTCAACTTTTACTTTTATTTTATAAAGCATAAGCGAGCCAGGAAAGGAAGATCTGATGAACATTCGGTGGCTAGCACTCCAGCAGAAGCTGCGAGAAGGCTGTTTGAGGAAAGAAACCTCTCAAAAAAGATCAACTTTAAAGTCTTGGATTCCCTATTCGATAATATACCTGATAGCATACCCAATACCCCAACTTCTTGGCGGGATTATGACCCTACCAGTGTTAGTGGTTCTGGTATTGCGCGTAGTGGCACCCCTGCTAGTTCAAGATGGGATGATGAAGAACCCATTCACGAATGGGATAACTTACCAGCTTCAAAGCTGAAAAGCACAAGCACAGATATATTACAAGGTGGAACTTCGGATTACGAAGAGTATGATGATTACAATGCTCAAGAGTCATATGAATATGAAAATTATGCAAGGGGAGAGGATTACTATGATTTCAATGAGTATGAATAGCTGAAACCAATATTCATTGCATTAACTTATATATTAGAGCTAATTATTAGATATTTTCCATTTTTATTGGTATCTGTGTTAACGAAACTTTGGTCATCTGTCAGTGCGATATAATGCTTTGAGATTTATTAAATCATTTACAAACATTGAATTATAAAATATTTGTGAAAATAAGAATATATTTTTGTCTTTTGAATCCATAAATAAAAAAAAAATGCATATTATTTCCATCCAATCATAGTTCCCCTCCAATCAGGGTATAGTACCCTGCAAACTATAAAATAATTTTTGGTCGCGTCTTTGAATCTCGATGGCTAACTCATACAGCGACTCTCCTTCGTCCCAATATAATGAGGAATCAACAGGCACGCGAATATTACTTTTACGTGAACGAACATTTGATGTTGAAACTAATTTAATTTACTTTATAATAGAGGAAACAAAACAAGAGAGAGCTGCTATTGAAGAGAAAATCATAAATGAAGAATATAAGATTTGGAAGAAAAACTCTCCATTTCTTTACGATTTAGTTATTACTCACGCGCTCGTGTGGCCGACTTTGACGTGTCAGTGGTTCAAAGATATCGATCGGTAATACCTTGGAAACCTTGTTAAATAAATTCCTTATTGGCGCGTTTCATAAATATTAACCTGCTTTCTACATTCAGACCTGAAGGAAAAGATTATACTGTCCAACGATTATTAATTGGTACCCACACATCAGATAACGACCAAAATTATGTCGAAATTGCCAACATTCAACTTCCAAAAAATGATGTTAACATCGATCCTCGAAAATATGATGAAGAAAAAGGAGGTATAAAATTGGATAATCAGCTTCTTACAACGACATATGACTTATTTAATCATTCTAAACAGAAGTGGGAGGATTTGGTGGTACTTCCGAAAGTAGAATTAAGGTTGTTCAGAGAATCAATCATGATGGAGAAGTTAATCGGGCAAGATATATGCCTCAAAATCAGGATGTGATCGCCACGAAAACAGTTGCGGGAGATGTATACATATTTGATCGCACGAAGCATCCCTTAAAACCCACCGATGGTGTCTGCAATCCTGAGTTAAAGTTGAAAGGTCATACGAAAGAAGGGTAAGTACAAACTGTTCCTATTATTTTACTGATTATCCGGATGACTTTCTAAATATTTTGAATTTATATTTATCTACAAGATATGGTTTATCTTGGAGCCCATTTAAGGATGGAAATATATTAGATGCCTCAGAAGACACTACTATTTGTCATTGGTTAGTGGCATATTTATGTATGTAGTAGTATACTTTGTGATAAAACAATTAATATAACATATGATTAGGGATATCACTGGGTACACTAAGGAGATACGAACGATGGAGCCATTTCGCGTTTATAGAGGACATGAAGCATTTGTAGAGGTAACTTTTTTATTGCATTTTCGATATTAAGTTTATATAATCCTAATTTGAATAGAATTTTTTTTTTTTTTTTTTTTTTTTTTTTTTTTTTTTTTTTTTTTTTTTTTTAGGATGTAGCGTGGCATGCTCTCGAAGCAAATATTTTTGCCTCAGTAGGAGATGACCAGAAGCTTCTTATGTATGATTTTTCTTCCAATTACCTAAACGTTTTTTTATTTCATCCTTTATTCTGATATATTTCCCTATGGTCAGTTGGGATACGAGAGCAGACAAAGCTGATAAACCTGCTCATTCAGTTATTGCGCATCAAAGCGAAGTTAATACGGTTTCGTGGAATCCAATAAACGAACACATTTTAGTTACTGGGGCTGGAGATAAGGTACGTTAATTTAGTTAAGGATTGAATTTACTTTTTATACACATACAAATTAAAATATATTGCCTACTTAGACCCTTAACCTGTGGGATCTTCGAAACCTCAAAATTAAACTTCACACGTTAGTTCATCATCAAGGGGAAGTCTTGCAAGTTGAGTGGTCACCTCATGATGAAACAATATTAGCATCCGCAGGAGGAGATAGAAGGGTTAATATATGGGATTTAAGTCGGATCGGAGCAGAACAAACTGCTGAAGATGCAGATGAAGGTCCGCCAGAACTATTGGTAAGTCATTTTCAAGTTTCTACATTGCTTATCTACCTATCGTATTATACTCATTAAAGGCAAATTTACTACATTAGTTTATGCACGGGGGTCATACTAACAAAATATCTGACTTCAGTTGGAATCCTCACATACCATGGGTAATTGCTAGTACTGCAGAAGACAACATAATTCAAGTTTGGCAACCAGTAAGATCATATGTTAACTTGAAATTTAAATTTCACTTTTACTAATGTAAATGTCTCATTATAGGCAGCAAACATCTATTCTATTGATGATAGAGAAATTCCTCCTGAAGAATTAGAAGATTAGATTTTCAGAATTTTTTTTCACCATATCTTGATATTATACTTAACAATTATTGAACAGAATCGGAGTTTATACGTATAAACCATAAATAGTCAACAAAATAATGATTTTTTGTGCTTTAAAAAATTGTTATAATACGACTTTTAATAATTTTATTGGATTAATAAATAAAATGAAATAATGCTACATTTAAATATAATAAAAATATTTTTGAAATTTTTGATTTTTAAATAAATATTAAAAAATATTTGTCAACTAATTTCAAATAAAAAAAAATTTTTTTTTAATTTTGTATTAGATTAGTTATGTATATTTTATTTTATTTTATTTATTTCGTGTTACTTGTAGCCAGGCTAAATTGTGTTTATTGATCAATTGAAGACATAAGTATATTTTCATTTGAGCAACATGATATAAGTATGCTATGGTTAAACTTTTTTATCAAATTTAATTAATTTGTCATAAGTATATAATCTCTAAGTTTGATCTTGGGAATAATATTTACTTCATAATGGATTTTGGATAAATACCTTTCTAGTTTACATATCATTGCTAGCAGTCATTATCAAGTTATATATATTCTATTAATCTTTTTTTTTTTATTATAATATCTATAGTTAGGTTAAATCATACTTTATTAATCAATAGAAAATAGAAGTATATTATTATTCAAGTAGCATAATATATACTATAGCCAAACTTTTATAAAGCAATCTAAATAACTTATTATAGGCAATAATAATCTTTAGGTTTGATCTTGAAAACAATATTTTGATTTATAATGAACTTTGAATAAAAACTCTTTTAGTTCATATATTATTGTCAATATATTATTATTATTATATAATATATCTTTTAAACTATTAAATATAGAAAACTATAAAAAAAAAGGTTAAAAAAGAAGATATTATATCAAAAATATGCAAATACATTACAAAAAAATATTTTTTTAACTTTTTTCAAAGATTTACTTTTTAAAATCTTTTTTCAATAAAAAATATTTTATTGAAATATTTTTTTTTTTTGATTATCTAAAAACTTATTTTTTTTAAAAAAAAATCACAACTGATATTAAATACATACTCTTTATTGAATAATTAATTCCTATAGTAATTATCAATCAACTTATACAAACTATATATTTTTATATATATATAAATTAATAATAACCTAATTCCTAACTAGATATATTATCACTTATTGAGTAAGTAGACCTAATTAGGGACTAGATAGTTAATAAACAGTCATAAGTGACATGACTAGGTTAGTTGATATTGAGTTTATAAATTCTTATATTTATTACTAAACTAATCTTTTTTTATATATATTTAACAAGATTTGTTATATTCTTCAATATTTTCAGATATTATTCACTCAGACCTCAGAAGAAAACACTTTGTATTCTTTGTTATTACTTGTGATATTGAATCAGTTTCTATTGACTAATTTTTATTTAAATAAAATATTAGATTAGAATATCTTAAACTAGAAGAGCGGAGTTTTAAAGTTTGCTAGGAAAGAAGAGTCTTGAGATATTTATGATGGGCTAGATCAGAAGTCTTTCTTTACACAATCCTTTTGATAATATAATTATAGATCTTAATTTCTAATTAATAGAAGATCAGAAGTCATATCTTTATATAACCTAATTTAATTGAAGCTTGTTCTAAATAATTGAATATGATTTTCATAAAATAATCAATAAACCTGATCTGAAGATAATTTTTGATTTTGGTTCTTAAGTAGTATTGAACTAAAAACCTTATAATTATAACATGGGAGTACTATTCCTATATATTAATCCACAGATTTTTTAAGAAATTATTTATTTTTTATTTTAATTTCTTTTCATATAGTATATTATTTGAATAAACTTATTATCCAGATAAACAACTCTTTCTGTTAATCCTCTGACCATACATAAAAAAGATATTTGCAAGAAGTTACTATACTTCTGACTAATAAAGTCTTATTACTCAATAAGTGATAATATATCTAGTTAGGAATTAGGTTATTATTAATTTATATATATATAAAAAT